CTCCTCTGCAAGGACAAATCTGCACATCCCCCCCCCAATAGCTAGCAATCCAAAACAGTCCAGTGGCACCTTTAAGACCAAGTTCAGGTACAAGCTCTCCCTCCTCTGCGAGGACAGATCTGCACGTTCCCCCCCCCCCCAAATAGCTAGCAATCCAAAACAGTCCAGTGGAGCCTGAGCAGTGCGTGTTGCCTTCTGACACACTTCCAGTGATGTCAGGGGGTGTGGCATTTGAAAATAAGTTATGCTAATGAGTTATGCTAATGAGCTCCTGCACCTCTTTTTCTACGAAATGACCCCTGTCGAGAACAATCCAACTGGTGCAGCTTTCCCCTTCACACAGGCACAAGGGCGGGGGAGAGCTTCACCTGGTGAGCTTCGTCTATCCAACGGCAGATAACAGCACAGAAACTCTGCCAGAAGGCACGGGTACCAAGCGATCAGGAATTCACAGAGGTCTTAGCCGATCTAGTGGATGAGTCTGGCGGACTGGGTGTCCAAGCACAAGATCTGGCGACTGGTACAGATTCATTCCGAACTCGCTGTCTTCCCCTATTGACCCCCTCAATGTTTATATACTATTTTGTATGGACAATTAACTTGTTTTCCCATGGTTTCAGAGGGTAGAATCATAGAATCCTAGAGTTGGAAGGGACCTCTAGGGTCATCTAGCCCAACACCCTGCACAAGGCAGGAAATTCTCAAACACATCAATCCCTCCCACACACACACACACATACCCAGTGACCGCTGCTCCATGCCCAGAAGATGACCGAAAAAAGAAAACCCTCCAGGATCCCCGGCCAAACTGGCCTGGAGGAAAATTCGCTTCCTGACCCCAATGTGGCGATCTGCATTTCCCTGGGCATGTAAGAAAGGGCGGCGAGAACTGAGCACTGACTGGCAACCCTTCCTGCCCTCCCTCTCATGATCTGCCGAAGTTCACCAGATCAGCATTGCTGACAGGTGGCCATCTAGCCTCTGTCTGACAACCTCCCAAGAAGGAGAGCCCCCCACCTCCTCCCGAGGAAGCCTGTTCCACCGAGGAACTTTAGCCGAAAACTCTTCTGTTTTAATTTAGCCATGTTAGTCTGTGGTAGCGCAGCTCAATTCTCCTTAGACCAACAAGATTGCTCCTTAGACCAACAAGGTTTTGGGGGTATAAGCTTTCGAGGGTCAAAACCCCAGATTCGAATCCAGTAGCACCTTAAAGGTAAAGGTAAAGGTTCCCTTGCTCGAAAGCCAGTCAAGTCCGACTCTAGGGTTGCGGTGCTCATCTCCGTTTCAAAGCCGAAGAGCCAGCGCTGTCCGAAGACGTTTCTATGGTCATGTGGCCGGCATGACTAAACGCCGAGGCGCACGGAACGCTGTTCCCTTCCCACCGAAGTGGTCCCTATTTATCTGCTTGCAATTTCTTGCTTTCGAACTGCTAGGTTGGCAGGAGCTGGGACCAGAGACGGGAGCTCACTCCGTCATGCGGCAACCCGGGTCTCGAACTGCTGAACTACTGACCTTCCACAGCCTGCAGTTCAGCGTCTTAACCACTTGAGCCACCGCAGCTCCAGTAGCACCTTAGAGACCAACAAAATGTTCAGGGCGTGAGGTTTTGAGAACCCAGGCCTTTGAGCTCGACAACTTATGCCACGAATAAATCTTGTTGGTCGCTAAGGCGCTAACTGGACTCACACCCAGCTCTTATTTCTGTGCGCACCTTTCTGTTAAAAAACAACCCGAGTACGACCAAAGGGAGGCACCGCGATGGAAACGAGGGACTCGCAAGTCCTCCCTGTTGTTCGTCGTCAACGGAAACTTCGCTCCCCCACCTCCACGGGCTGACCGCCCTCCCTCCGTCCTGCCGCCCACGTTTGGCCGCCTTGAGCTGCTGACCTAAATGAGCCACATCCTGCTCTGTGGTCAGCGCTCTCCGGCAACAGAGGCAGCTCGATCATCTAAACTCTTCGGTTGCCATAATAAGCTCGCCCACTCAGCCCGTCCCATCTGTGAAACCTGCAGATTCCAAGGCAGTTTCCAAAGCACTAAGATGGGACTTCAGAAATGCGTACCCAAAAAAGGGTAGTCAGTCATGGGACCTCTGAGAATGAGGAGGTGACGGGGGAGAGTGTTGTCAAGTTGCAGCCGACTTATGGCAACCCAGTAGGGTTTTCAAGGTGAACAGCTGGACAGAGGTGGCTTGCCGTTGCCTGCTTCTGCATAGCAACCCTAGACTTCCTTGGTGGCAGGCCCATAATAATTTCTCTTGTAAATGCTTTTTCAGTCATTTTTAAACATTTTTTAAAAGTTGTGTGCTCCTTGAAGCAGAGTGGGGTGCTGCAGTTGACTAATTCTTGCACTGAGCAAGGGGGTTGGAGTAGGTGACCTCTAGGATCCCTTCTACCTCTGTGTCAAGAAACTGGTCTCCTTTAAGAGAGTTTTTCCTGCCAGTTAGCTTTTTTGACTAGAGATGTCATCACCCCCACTTGCCGGCTTGTTATCAGAATGGTTGCTTAGGCTGGCAGACGTGATTAACTTGCGGCAGCTGAGAACTGTCATCTAAAGTGGTCGACAGTTTGCAATTTAGAGATCTCTCCTGGTAACAGCTTTTCTATTGGCTAAATGGCTTTTCTTTCTGCACTGAGAACTTCAGCCCCACCAGAAAAAAGTTTGCCCCACATGCCACAAAATCCTGGCTACGAGCCTGCTTGGTGGTCTCCCATCCAAGTACTGAACCTGCTCAGTTTTCAATATCTGACAAGATCGGGCTAATCTGGGCCGTCCAGGTTAAGACGGAATGAGATGGAGACTTTGGTGAGAAGAAGAGATTGGATTTATACCCCACCCTTCACTACCCGAAGGAGTCTCAGAGCGGCTTACAATCTCCTTTCCCTCCCCCTCCCCACAACAGACACCCTGAGAGAGCTCTTTCGAGGACCGCCCTTGAGACAACAACTCTGAGAGAGCTTGTGACTGACCCAAGGTCACACCAGCAGCTGCATGTGGGGGAGTGGGGAATCAGACCCGGTTCTCCCAGATTAGAGTCCATGCTCCTAACCACCACACCAAACTGGCTCTCCACCAATGCTTCCTCTAAGCTGTGGAGTCTTGCGAGCAAAAATTCTGTGCTCTGGCAACTGGCATTAAAGTTGTGAGCGAGTGAGTTGGCTACTGCATAAATTAGCTTGCTCTGGAGCCAAGGACTGTTCTGCCTGAGACTGGCTGAGCTTGAAGCTGAAGAACAATAGCCCACCAGCACTCTGGAAGTCACCAATCAAGTATTAATGTTATGTAAATAGCCTATCGTTGGGAGTGGGGGGTGATTGGGTATGGCAATTGCATGCTATTTAAACAAGGCTTTGGCCCTGTTTAGTCTTGTTCTTGCTGAAATCACAAATAAAGCTGATCACTAGACTTGGGGTCTGCTCATCCATGGAACCCACTATTTAGCAGTTTTCTTCCCCGCAACAGACACCCTGTGAGGTAGGTGGGGCCGAGAGAGCTCTTTCGAGGATTGCTCTTGACAGAACAGCTCCGAGAGAACTTGTGACTGCCCCGAGGTCACACCAAGGAAGGAAGGAAGGAAGGAAGGAAGGAAGGAAGGAAGGAAGGAAGGAAGGAAGGAAGGAAGGAAGGAAGGAAGGAAGGAAGGAAGGAGAAGAAGAGATTGGATTTCTATCCCGCCCACTACCCGAAGGAGTCTCAGAGCGGCTTACAATCTCCTTTCCCTCCCCCTCCCCACAACAGACACCCTGTGAGGTAGGTGGGGCTGAGAGAGCTCTTTCGAGGACTGCTCTTGACAGAACAGCTCCGAGAGAACTTGTGACTGCCCCGAGGTCACACCAGCAGCTGCATGTGGAGGAGTGGGGGAATCAAACCCGGTTCTCCCAGATCAGAGTCTGCCACTCCTAACCATGACGCCAAACTGGCTAAGATAATGCTAAGAGAAGCTGTAAGCTGCAGGAGAAGAGAAATGAATGGACTCCGTCGAGGAAGCCACAGTTCTCAGTTTGCAAGACCTGAGCGAGACTGTTTCGAGAGGACCTTTTGTAGGTTATTCATTCCATAAGGGTCGCCATAAGTTGAAAGCCACTCGGTGGAACTTACACACAGATCTTGAAACTTGGTTATAAGCAGGGGTCATTTCGTAGAAAAAGAGGTGCAGGAGCTCATTAGCATAACTCATTAGCATAACTTATTTGCATATGCCACACACCCTGACATCACCGGAAGTGTGTCAGAAGGCAACACCCACCACTCAGGCTCCACTGGACTGTTTTGGATTGCTAGCTATTGGGGGGGGGTGAGGAACGTGCAGATCTGTCCTCACAGAGGAGGGAGAGCTTGTGCCTGAATAAAACTTGGTCTTAAAGGTGCCACTGGACAGTTTTGGACCGGGGGGGGGCTCTGCAACTTACCTGGCTGCTTCTTGCTCTGACTGAGGGCCACTGGGAGCAGAGGGTGGGGCTTGTTGCATGTGCCCGCCCCCTGGGCTCTTTACTGCCGGAGCGCTGCTCCTGTGCGCTCCTGCAGGAAATGACCCCTGGTTATAGGACAAAAACATGGAACGCCGTACCCCAAACAAAACTTGGCTTCCAAGTTCACGCGCACACACCAACGGAATTATCCTAAAATGTCAAACTGCTCCAAACATTCTTATTTTGAGTATTTTTTTTTTTGAACTTGAGAACTCAGAAGTCGGGCAAGTCTTTCACCCTTGGCCATCATCCATGCACGCAAGTTTCCCGGCTTTGCACGTACCTGAAAGAGGCGAGTGAAGATGTCAAATTCAAAGACAGAGATGTGCCCGTTACACGTGAGGTCTATGGTGGACCGTAAGGCGGTGGCCATCGGACCTGGGTCCACAGGGTGCACCCGATGGAGCCCTTTTCGGAATTCGGACCAGGATACCAGGCTCCTGCAGAGAACAGAACAGAAACGGCTTGACAGGTGTGCCTTTCACACTTGAGAGTGGGCCAGTGTTCCCTCTAAGCTGAATGAGTGTGAGCTAGCTCGCAGTTTTTTAGCCTCCAGCTCACACATTTTTGACTTGGCTCAGGAAGGAGGGCTCCAGAGCAAACTAATTTATGCAGCAGGCAAATCGCTCACCCACAACTTTAATGCCAGTAGCTCACAAAATAGAATTTTTGCTCACAGGACTCCACAGCTTAGAGGGAGCCTTGAAGTGGACCCAGGGATATTGGCTTTGGTTAGGGTTACCTGACATCCCCTTTTTAGAGGACATGTCCTCTTTTGGGATGTCCATCCTCTTTTGGGCTCTTTTTTTAAAAAAAAACTGATGAAAATGTCCTCTTTTTAGGTCAGAAGGTTAGAAATATTCCTAGTTAGTAACAATGACCACAGCTTAAATAGTAGGGGCATTTGAAATGAGATTTGCCATCGCAACCACTTGTTTGAAGTAGTCAGGAAATATGTCTTTTTTGCTTTTCAAAATATGGCAATCATAGAATGATAAGAGCTGGAAGGGCCCTCCAAGGTCATCTAGTCCAACCCCCTGCACAAGGCAGGAAACTCACAAATACCCTCCCCACACACACACACCCAGTGATCATTGTTCCATGTCCAGAAGATGACAGAAAACCTCCAGGATCTCCAGCCAAAGTAGCCTGGAGAAAAATTGCTGCCTGACCCCAAAGTGGCGATCGGCATTTCCCTGGGCGTGTAAGAAAGGGCCACGAAAACTGAGCACTGAGGCAACCCTCCCTGCCCTCCCTTCTCGTGATCTGCCGAAGTTCACAGAATCCGCATTGCTGTCAAATGGCCATTGAGCCTCTGTTTGAAAACCTCCAGAGAAGGAGAGCCCATCACCTCCCAAGGAAGCCTGTTCACCTGAGGAACCGCTCCGATTGTCAGGAAGTTCTTCCTAATGTTTAGCTGAAAGCTCTTCTGATTTAATTTCAACCCGTTGGTTCTGGTCCGACCTTCTGGGGCAACAGAAAACAACTCCGTACCATCCTAGCTAGTAATCCTAGCTTTGGTACACGCAGGGCTCCTTTTGTAGAAAAAGCCCAGCAGGAACTCATTAGCATAATAGGCCACACCCTACAGCGGGAACTCATTAGCATATTAGGCCACACCCATGACAGCACAGCTCATTAGCACATTAGGACGCACCCCCATGTTACCAGAAGTGTGGTTATCCAGCCACACCCACCTTTTGCTTGTTATTCTGTTTACCTTGTTTGTTGTCAAAACCCAGGGCTTTTTTTGTAGCAGGAACTCCTTTGCATGTTAGGCCACACATCCCTAATGAAACCAATCCTAATGAGTTTCTGCTGTTGGGTGTGGCCTACTATGCTAATGAGTTCCTGCTGGGTGTGGCCAACTCGGAAGCCAGCCGGAACTCCGTTCCTGTGCACGTTCCTGCCCAAAAATAGCCCTGCGTACACGGCATATTTAACAAGCAAACCTAGACGGTTTGTATCGGTAGAACTAGCAGAGCTTCTTCCGAAGTATCCTGGGAATTGTAGTTTAATGATGCCTCCCAGACGGCTTTCGCAGAACTACAATTCCCAGGGTTCCCTGGGGACACAGCATGACTATACAAAACCAGTTTGGTTTGTGGTGCAGCGATACGCCCTGGGAGGAATGCGACGAGCTGGAAGGGCCCCAAGTAAATCAAATACAGTTAAACTTAGGGAATTCACCACCAGGAAATGTGATGGGCCACAGCAAAGACTGCTTTTTTAAAAAGGGGATTAGATAAATCCCTGAAGAATAGGTCCATCAACAGATCTGAGATATAATAGCCCAGGGGTCCCCAATGGCGGGTGTGGCCTATTATGCTAATGAGTCCCTGCTGGGCTTTTTCTACAAAAAGAGCCCTGCCCAATTCTTGGTGCCAATCAAGTTTTTTTAGAGAGTGGGTGGAGCCACGGGTTCTTGCCGAGCAGCGTTTCTTATTTGCCAATGAAGAGCTGATACGACTATGCAGATTAAAACAGCCCTGTTTCAGCGGCAGCCACCACTGCAGCATTCAGGTTTATTCTCTCCTCTCTTCCACAGTGTGTTTTTAAAGCTAACCCTCTTCTCCCCTGCGCTTGGGGGAGTGTGCGTGGCCCCGCCTCCTGGACGCTGGGATCCCTACTGGGGAAGGGACCGCCTTCGAGTTCTACAAGTCGTCTTCCCATCTGATATTTAACAGTATGGAAAATGTTGGTTCTGGAGAGCGCTGGATCGAAGTGAGGCCCCACAGCCCCTTCTTTGCAGAAGAAGAAGAAGAGAAGAAGAAGAATAGAGTCGGAAGGGACCTCCAGGGTCTAGTCCAACCCTCGGCACAATGCAGGAAATTCACAAATACCTCCCTCTCCACAGACACCCAGTGACCGCTGTTCCGCGCCCAGAAGATGACAAGAAAACCTCCAGGATCTCCAGCCAAACTGGCCTGGAGAGAAATTGCTTCCTGACCCAAAAGTGGCGATCAGCACTTCCCTGGGCTGGAGGAGAGGAGGAGCAGGAGGAGGAGAGATTGGATTTATACCCTGCCCTTCACTACCCGAAGGCGACTCAGAGCGGCTGACAATCTCCTTTCCCTTCCCCTCCCCACAACAGACACCCTGTGAGGCAGGCGGGGCTGAGAGAGCTCTTTCGAGAACTTCTTCTGAGAGAACAGCTCTGAGAGGACTTGTGACTGACCCGAGGTCACACCAGCAGCTGCATGTGGAGGATCAAACCCGGTTCTCCCAGATTAGAGTCCGTGCTCCTAACCACTACACCAAACTGGCTCTGATTAGTATGGTGAGTGGTAGGTTTTAGGACGAGGGGGAGAACTTGGCAGGACAGTTGTCCCCTGCATTACGCCTGTAGTTGCAAGGTAAAGGTAAAGGTTCCCTTGCTCGAAAGCCAGTCGAATCCGACTCTAGGGTTGCGGTGCTCATCTCCATTTCCAAGCCGAAGAGCCAGCGCTGTCCGAAGACGTTTCCGTGGTCGTGTGGCCGGCATGACTAAACACCGAGGCGCACGGAACGCCGTTCCCTTCCCACCGAAGTGGCACCTATTTATCTACTTCAATTTCTTGCTTTCGAACGGCTAGGTTGGCAGGATGTAGTTGCAAGCAGAGTGGCAAAATGAGACGTTGCAGGATATCAGTACCTGCATAGGAATCAGTTACAGGCAGGGCTATTTTGGGGCAGGAACGCACAGGAACGGCGTTCCGGCTGGCTCCCAAGTTGGCCACGCCCAGCAGGAACTCATTAGCATAATAGGCCACACCCAGCAGCAGGAACTCATTAGGATTGGCTACATTAGGGGTGTGTGGCCTAACATGCAAAGGAGTTCCTGCTACACAAAAAGGCCCTGGGTTTTGACCACAAACAAGGTAAACAGAATAACAAGCAAAAGGCGGGTGTGGCTGGATGACCACACTTCTGGTAACATGGGGGTGCATCCTAATGTGCTAATGAGCTGTGCTGGCAGGGGTGTGGCCTAATATGCTAATGAGTTTCTGGTGTTGGGTGTGGCCTATTATGCTAATGAGTTCCTGCTGGGCTTTTTCTACAAAAAGAGCCCTGGAACTTACAGGCAGGGTTGGTAACCTGCAGGTGGGACCGGGAGATCACCTGATGTCACCATTGACTATGGAGATTGGTTCCCCTAAATAAAATGGATGCTTTGGAGGTGGACTTTATGGCATCGCGCCCTGGTGATGTTCCTTCCCTCCCCAAACCACAGGTCCCTCCCCCTTTTGAATAGCAAAAAAGAGGACATATTTCCTGACTGACTACTTCAAGCAAGTGATCACTATGACAAATCTCCCCCTACAATTTAAACTGGGATAATTGCCATGAACTAGGAATATTCCTAGGAGCTGCGGTGGCTCAAGTGGTTAAGACGCTGAACTGCAGGCTGTGGAAGGTCAGTAGTTCAGCAGTTCGAGACCCGAGTGTGCTGCCTGACGGAGTGAGCTCCCATCTCTAGTTCCACCTCCTGCCAACCTAGCCGTTCGAAAGCAAGACATTGCAAGGAGATAAATAGGGACCACTTCGGTGGGAAGGGAACAGCGTTCCGTGCGCCTTGGTGTTTAGTCATGCCGGCCACATGACCACGGAAACGTCTTCAGACAGCGCTGGCTCTTCGGCTTGGAAACGGAGATGAGCACCGCAACCTTAGAGTCGGACTCGACTGGCTTTCAAGCAAGGGAAACCTTTACCTTTACCTTAGGAATATTCCCAACCTTCCAACTCAGAAAAGAGGACATTTTCATCAGGTTTTTAAAAAGAGTCCAAAAGAGGACGTACACCAAAAAAAGAGGACATGTCATTTCCAATGTTCCCTCTAAGCCGTGGAGTCTTGTGAGCAAAAATTCTACTTGGTGAGCTACTGGCATGAAAGTTGTGAGCGAGTCATTTGGCTGCTGCATCAATTAGTTCGCTCTGGAGCCCTCCTTCCTGAGCTAAGACAAAAATGTGTGAGCCGGAGGCTAAGAAACTGTGAGCTAGTTCACACTAACTCAGCTTGGAGGGAATACTGGCACATGTCTTCTAAAAACAGGGCATCTGGTAATGCTACTTCCCCCGTCTCCACCCCCAAAATCTCCAGGTATTTTCCAACCCAGAGCTAGCCAGCCTGCTGGTTAACAAACCGTCGATTCAGATGTTGTCGTATCTTGTAATCCATTCACTGACTGCCTGATGTTATCACCGTTTGTAATCTGTTTACTGATTGACTGGAGGTTTTGGAGGTTTTTTTTAATCATACTTGTAATCTGACTTGGCTCCCGGTCAGAAAGGCGTATGATTGAAAATAATAATCAAAACAATCCTGCAGTTCTTTCTTAAAAAAAAAAAAAAGTATTATTGCAAGGGTGGAAGATGGAAACAACACCCACATTAGCTGGCTCTGCCTACCATTGATTTCTTGGGGCCACGGTGGCTCAGAGGTTAAGACGCTGAGCTGCAGACCGGAAGGTCGGTAGCTCGGCAGTCCGAGACCCTAGTGCCGCGTGACGGAGCGAGCTCCCGTCTCTGGCACCAGCTCCTGCCAACCTAGCAGTTCGAAAGCAGGAAATTGCAAGGAAATAAATAGGTACCACTTCGGTGGGAAGGGAACAGCGTTCCGTGCACCTTGGCGTTTAGTCAAGCCAGCTACATGGCCACAGAGAAGTCTTTGGACAGTGCTGGCTCTTCGGCTTGGAAACGGAGATGGAGCACCGCCCCCTAGAGTCGGATTCGACTGGCTTTCGAGCAAGGGAAACCTTTACCTTTACTCCTATTGATGGTCTTGCACACCCCAAATGGAGTCGGATTCTAGTTAGGGTTGGAGAATTCCTGGAGATATGGAGGTAGGGCGTAATGCCATAGAGTCCACCCTCCAAAGTTGTCATTTCCTCCAGGGGAACTAATCTTCGTAGCCTAGAGATTAGCTGTAGTTTCAGGAGTTTTCTAGCCTCCACCTGGTGGATATAAGGGAGCCCACTGAATGGCGAAGAAGGTTTGTTGATGTCTCACCGGCTGCCCCACGTGTCTCTCCAGAAAATCTGCGCTTCCGGCTTGCTGAGCTTGTAAATGCTTCCGTGGTCTCTCCCTTCGGGGAACAGAGCCTGCAGTTCAGCTAACATAAATAGTAGTTCTCAGGGCTATTTTTGGGCAGGAACGTACAGGAACGGAGTTCCGGCTGGCTTCAGAGTTGGCTACGCCCAATACAGTCAAAACCTCTGCATGCGTGGCTACAGAGGGAAGGCTTGGAGAGCGACCCCCCCCCAGAGACTCCAAGGTGGGTGGGCCAGGAAGGATTGGGGAGGCATTTAAATGCCTCCCCGTGCCTTCCCTGGCCTGTCCAAGGACCAGCTTGCCCAGGCTCCCTGCATCTCCGGGACGCCCGGACAAGCCAAGGGAAGGCAAGGGGGTGAGACCTAATATGCTAATATGTTTCTGCTGTTGGGTGTGGCCTATTATGCTAATGAGTTCCTGCTGGGCTTTTTCTGCAAAAAAAGCCCTGGTAGTTCTCAAACTTTTCTGACTGGACCTCATTTGTTTGGCTGTTGTATCTCTGCTAGGGATGCCACTTGGTCAGGCGCTCCCCCCCCCAATTACCTCCCAAACAGGCAAGAAGCCGGAAATAAATGCAACTAAATGCAACATGCCTACATCACCAAGGAGTGATGTAGGCACATCAGTGACGTTGGGGGTGGTGGTGATGCTCTGGTGTTTGGGCAAAACTCTATGGTAGAAGCTAATTCTACCATAGAAATTTTGTCTACAAACCAGAGCATTGCCCCCAACATCACCAATGTGCATATGTCACTTCCAGGTGATGTAGGCATGCCGTGGTTATTTCCGGCTCCTTCCCTCCACACTCCTGGTAAGTGCACCCCCCACCCCGCCCTGTGGTCCAACAGATCTGGAAACCCTAACTGCATCCTCTGCTATTTTATTTGTCTATTTTAAACATTTTTATGCCACCCTTCCACCCAATCAGGGTCCCCAAGGCAGCAAACATAAAAACGTTATGACACTTGAACAATAAAAAGCACTAAAATCATAAAATAATCCAATAAAAACACATAAACAAACCGTACCAGAATCAAGGAGGATGGCCAATAACCATTAGTGGTAGGGTTGCTAGCTCCAGGTTAGGAAATACCTGGAGATTTTGGAGGTGGAGCCTGAGGAGGGCGGTGTTTGAGGCAGGGGGGAACATCAGTGGGGTAGAATGCCATAGAGTCCACCTTCCAAAGTAGCCATTGTCTCCAGGGGGAGCTGATCTCTTCTACCTGGAGACCACTGTTCCCTCTAAGCTGAGTTACTGTGAGCTAGCTCACCGTTTTTGAGCCTCCAGCTCACACATTTTTGTCTTCGCTCAGGAAGGGGGGCTCCAGAGCAAACTGATTTCTGCAGTCGCCAAATGGCTCGCTCACAACTTTCATGCCGGTAGCTCACCAAGTAGATTTTTTGCTCACAGGACTCCACGGCTTAGAGGGAGCACTGCTGGAGACCAGTTGTGAATCTGGGAGACCTCCAGCCACCCCCTGCAAACTAGCACCCCTAATCCACACTTAGACCTCCAGGAATTCCCCAGCCTGGAGTTGGCAACCCTAGCAACTGCAGCGGTCCTTTCAAAAGATGGCCACCCCAGTTTGAAACGCGGCCTTCCTTTTTGCTCCCGGAGGACTTCTCGAGGCCTAATACTGACACTTGGGGCCTTGGTTGCCAAGCAACCGCCCCTATGGCTGCCGATAAGGAAAAGAATCCCAGTTTAAACCAAAAAAACAATTTAAAAAAATTGTGTGGGGAAAGAAGGGAGTGGGGGGTCTGACCCCTGCTCCAACCCAGTCCTAAGGTTGCCAACTCTAGTTTGGGAAATTCCTGGAGATCTAGAGACAGAGACTGGGGAAGGTGGTTTTTGGGACGTGGAAGGACTACAGCAAGGTATAAGGCCAGAGTCCACCCTCCGAAGCAGCCATTTTCTGTAGTCTGGAGCAGTGTTCCCTCTAAGCTGAGTTAGTGTGAGCTAGCTCACAGTTTTTTAGCCTCCGGCTCACACATTTTTGTCTTAGCTCAGGAAGGAGGGCTCCAGAGCAAATTAAATTATGCAGTAGCCAAATCACCTGCTCACGACTTTAATGCCGGTAGTTCAAAAAGTAGAATTTTTGCTCACAGGACTCTACAGCTTAGAGGGAACATTGGTCTGGAGCAGTGTTCCCTCTAAGCTGAGTTAGTGTGAGCTAGCTCACAGTTTTTTAGCCTCCGGCTCACAGATTTTTGTCTTCGCTGAGGAAGGATGGCTCCAGAGCAGACTAATTTATGCAGCAGCCAAATCGCTCGCTCACAACTTTAATGTCAGTAGCTCACAAAACAGAGTTTTTGCTCACAAGACCTGTAGCTTAAAGGGAGCATTGTTCTGGAGCAAGGCTCCCTCAAAGGCTGTGGAGTCTTGTAAAGAAGATCTTTAAAGAACGTAATGTTCTTTAAACGTCATGTTCTTTAATGTGGAGTCTTGTAAAGAAGATCTTGTAAAGAACGTAAAGAAGCTCCAAATAAGCCGTCGCCATTGGGCATAAATATCATGGGAGTTACCATCTGGAACTGTGTTGATTCTATCCTGGACGTATGAGATTAGTAATTGACTGAGCGCCATTGTTTTAAGTGTTGGATGTTTTTATTATGTTTTATATGTCTTTAATTATGGCACGGCGAATTACCCTGCCCTTGTTAGCCGCCCTGAGCCCACTGGGGAGGGCGGGAGATAAATGTGAAAAATAAATAAATATAAATAAATAAATCGTGAGCAAAAATTCTACTTGGTGAGCGACTGGCGTTCAAGTTGTGAGCCAGCGATTTGGCGACTGCATCAGTCAGCTTGCTCTGGAGCCGTCCTTCCTGAGCGAAGACAACAGTGTGTGAGCCGGAGGCTAAAAAAACCTGTGAGCTCACACTAACTCAGCTTTAGAGGGAACACTGGTCTGGAAATCGGTGGCGGTTCCAGATCTCCAGGTACCGCCTGGAGGTTGGCATCCCTTTAATGGCAGGAAGCTTTGGACAGTACGGGGGGCTTGGGTGCATGCAGAACCAGGCCAACTGACCCGGGGGGAGGAGGAAGAAGCACACCTCCTGGCTGGCTCCCACAGAAATCAGCAAGGAACATTTTTTAATAGCCTGAAGGTAAGCATGATTGGCCGCAAATGTAAACCAAGTGCGACAGAGCACCCGGGAATGCTCTCTGCTCCGGGAAATACTCCTTATCTGCGGACCTTTCAGCCCTAGGGCAGGACTGCCAGCCCCAGGCTGGGAAATTCCGGGAGATCTGGGGGGTAAAGCTTGTGGAGGTCAGAGTTTGGGGAGGGAAGGGACCTCAACAGGGTGTATTGTGTAAGAGTCCACCCTCCAAAGCAGCCATTTCCTTCAGGGGAACTGATCTCTGGCCATAGGGTTGCCACTGGCAATGCTCCCTCTAAGCTGAGTTCGTGTGAGGAGGGCTATTTTTGGGCAGGAACGCACAGGAACGGAGTTCCAGCTAGCTCCTGAGTTGGCCACGCCCAGCAGGAACTTATTAGCATAATAGGCCACACCCAACAGCAGAAACTCATTAGGATTGGCTACATTAGGGGTGTGTGGCCTAACATGCAAAGGAGTTCCTGCTACAAAAAATGCCCAGGGTTTTGACAACAAACAAGGTAAACCGAATAAGAAGCAAAAGATGGGTGTGGCTGGATGAGCACACTTCTGGTAATATGGGGGTGTGGCCTAATATGCCAATGAGCTGTGCTGTCAGGGGTGTGGCCTAATATGCTAATAGGTTTCTGCTGTTGGGTGTGGCCTATTCCTGCTGGGCTTTTTCTACAAAAAGAGCCCTGATTTGTGTGAGCCAGCTCACAGGGGTTTTTTTTAGCATCCGGCTCACGCACTTTCGACTTAGCTCAGGAAGGAGGGCTCCAGAGCAAACTGATTTAGGCAGCAGCCAAATTGCTCAGCTCACACGCAACTTTTAATGCCGGCAGCTCGCAGAGTAGAATTTTTGTTCACAAGACTCCACACCTCAGAGGGAGCGTCGGTGTCCAGGTCCTTCCTGGCCACCGGCAAGGGATGGGGGGGCAGGGTTGCCAGATCCAGGCTGCAAAAATCCTGGAGATTTGGGGATGGAGCCCAGGGAGGACAGGGACCTCAGTGGGGTGCAATGACATAGAGTCCGCCCTCCAAAGCATCCACTCTCTCCAGGAGAACGGATCTCTGTAGGCTGGAGACAAGATTTAATCCCATGGGACCCCCAGGTCCCACCTGGAGGCTGGCATCCTTACTTGGTTATTTGGAGCTCAGTAGTAGTTCCAGGATATTGACAGCCCTCTGCCTGGAGGTTGGCAACCCTAGCCCTCACGCACAGTCTCTTGTCACCTGTGAGAGTGTGAGGTCTTCATTCTCCTCCTCCTCCTCACCCCAAGCTGCCCAGAAATTGATGTTGGCCAGATTACCAAGCCGGGCTTTGGTCCCTTAAACACAAGAAAACAGGAACCGCGTCTCGTTCCTGTCCTATCTGACACCTGAGCCCACAGACACGCCGTGATCAGATAGGCAAAGGCGCCTCCTCTTCCTCTGCTTATTTTTCTTTTGTCCTGCAAAGGAGGTGTTTGTTCTTTCGGCCTGAAGCCTTATTAGAAAAATGGTTGTCTGCTTAACTGTTCTAAGTAGTATGCTGTTGACGGCTTTCACGGCCAGAGTTCATCGGCTGTTGTAGATCTTCCAGGCTGTGTGGTTGTGGTCTTGGCATTGTGGGACCTGACGTTTCGCCAGCAGCTGTGACTGGCACCCTCAGAGGGATAACGCAGAAAGATGGAGTGCTCTCTGTGTCAAGCAGGGCTATTTTTGGGCAGGAACGCACAGGAACGGAGTTCCGGCTGGCTTCCGAGTTGGCCACGCCCAGCAGGAACTCATTAGCATAATAGGCCACACCCAACAGCAGAAACTCATTAGGATTGGCTACATCAGGGGTGTGTGGCCTAACATTCAAAGGAGTTCCTGCTACAAAAAAAGCCCTGGGTTTTGACAACAAACAAGGTAAACAGAATAAGAAGCAAAAGGTGGGTGTGGCTGGATGACCACACTTCTGGTAACACGGGGGTGCAGCCTAATGTGTTGTCAGGGGTGTGGCCTAATATGCTAATTTATTTATTATTTATTATTTTGGTTTCTATCCCGCTCGAACCCCCCCAGGGGTCTCTGAGCGGCTTACAGTATTCTTAATTAACCCTATCTATGGCCACATTTCAATCGGGGTGGGGACTACCCTACCGGCACCCTGTGGAAGGAGTTGTTGTACTTCTCACTCCTGGTTCGGCTGCTGGCTATTGCTGGCTCGGTGCTTTTTTCCTTCTTGTGATCCTCGGTGTCGGCTCGGTGTCGGCTGGTAATGCGTTTCTACCATTGGGTGTGGCCTATTATCAGGGGTCATTTCCTGTGGGAGCGCACAGGAGCAGAGCTCCGGCAGTAAAGAGCCCAGGGGGCAGGCACATGCAACAAGCCCCACCCCCTGCTCCCAGCAGCCTTCAGTCAGAGCAAGAAGCAGCCAGGTAAGTTGCAGAGCCCCCCCCTGGCCCCCCGGTCCAAAACAGTCCAGTGGCACCTTTAAGACCAAGTTTTATTCAGGTACAAGCTCTCCCCTCCTCTGCCAGGACAGATCTGCGCGTTCCCCCCCCCCCCAATAGCGAGCAATCCAAAACAGTCCAGTGGAGCCTAAGCGACGGGTGTCGTATTCTGACACACTTCCGGTGATGTCAGGGGGTGTGGCCTATGCAAATAAGTTATGCTAATGAGTTATGCTAATGAGCTCCTGCACCTCTTTTTCTACGAAATGACCCCTGCCTATTATGCTAATTAGTTCCTGCTGGGCTTTTTCTACAAAAAGAGCCCTGGAGGAGAGAAGAAAAATGGCTTCATTGACACAGAGAGCCCTCCATCTTTCCACGTTATACCTCTGAGGATGCCAGTCACAGCTGCTGCCGAGACGTCAGGTCCTCCAACGCCAAGACCACAGCCACACAGCCCGGAAAAACTACAACAACTACTGTTCTAAATAGGCCTCACTGTCGTTAGCACAGAAAACAGCCAGCTATTTGTATGTGCCCCACCATTCTCTAACAAATTCAGGACGGCCTTCTATGGCTGTAGTTCCCTCTGTTTTTATCCTCACGGCAAAGCGGTGCACTGAGCCGGGACCAAGAGAGAAACTCAGCTTGGTGGAGACCAGGGTTTTGAACACAGCTCTCCCCCCAGTCCAGATCTGAACCTTAAACTGTCATTTGCAGTATTCTATTGGTGTTGATTTTTGTATATCGCAGAAATGTCTTTTTACCAAATTTGATGTAACCCGCCCTGAGCCTGTGATGCGGGGAGGGCAGCATATAAGTCGAATAAAATAAATAAATAAACGAACAAACCTCCAGGTGGAGTCTGGAGCAATGTTCCCTCTAAGCTATGGAGTCTTGTGAGCAAAAATTCTACTTTGTGAGCTGCTGGCATTAAAGTTGTGAGCAGGTGATTTGGTTAGTGCGTAAATTGGTTTGCTATGGAGCCCTCCTTCCTGAGCTAAGACAAAAATGTGTGAGCCGGAGGCTCAAAAACCGTGAGCTAGCTCACACTAACTCAGCTTAGAGGGAAACAATGGCTCTGGAGTTCTCCCAGAATTGCAACTGATCTCCAGCATATAGAGATGGGTTCCCTCTGGAGAAAACAGCAACTTTGGAGGGCAGACTCTATGGTATACCACAGATTCCTCATGAAATCCCTTTCCCAAAGTCCCCCCTTCACTGTCCCCAAATCTCCAGGAATTTCCCAGGCTGGGATCGGTGACCCTAAATTCCTACATGATAGTGACTTTCACAGACTATCTGCTGTGTGGAGCCTGTAGGATTACGTGCCTGCATTTCACGTGCAAGCGGAGATGAGATGTGCCTGCTCGTTATTTAAAGATGTGACTGCTAGAGATGGTGAGCGACCGGCAATTGTGGAGCACGTGTTCAAACAGAAATTAAAGGATATCCCCCAATTATCTCCAAAGGTTCCAAAAATAGGGCTTCTGAGCAGTGTTCCCTCTAAGCTGAGTTAGTGTGAGCCAGCTCACAGTTCTTTAGCCTCTGGCTCACAGATTTTTGTCTTAGCTCAGGAAGGAGGGCTCCGGAGCAAACGAATGCATGCCGTAGCCAAATCGCTCACTCCCAACTTTAATGCCGGTAGCTCACAAAGTTGACTTTTTGCTCACAAGACTCCACAGCTTAGAGGGAGCCTTGCTTCCCTGCAAGCTCTTACTGGCAGAAGTAATGCTGCCTGGAAACCCCTTTTTCGGCTGTGTTACATTGACCGCAACATTCTTTCTCCGCAGAGATTTGCCTGGTGAGTTTTCAAGACTTTTATTTGCCAGAGGGTCTTCTGCTGACTTCCTCCCGCCCTGACTCCCTGATTTATGCCCGTAAATCTGGTGGGCATTGAAGAATTCCCCCCAATTTAAGTTGCTCTTCTGCATTCTCTAGCTGTCTCCTGGCTGCATCAGGGGCGGTGTAGTTTTCAGCCGTTATTTTGCATTTTGACTGCTGTTGGAAGCGGCCTCGGGAGCGAACATTGCAAAGGCAGGATAGAAATGCAATAATAATAATAATAATAATAATAATAATAATAATAATAATAATAATGATGATGATGATGATGATGATGATGATGATGATGATGATGATGATGATGATGATGATGATGATGATGATGATGATGATGAAAAAGAGGGACCAGAAAATATAATCTTCTGTGTCTCAGGATAGCTGCAATCACACACACTAAATAATCCCCGTTCAATCAACTTTCAGAGCCAGTCTGGTGTCGTGGTTAAGTGCATGGACTCTAATCTGGGAGAACTGGGTTTGATTCCCCCACTCCTCCACTTGCACCTGCTGGATGACCTTGGGCAAGCCATAGTTCTGTCAGAGCTGTTCTCGAAAAAGAGCAGTTTCTCTCAGAGCTCTCTCGGCCCCACCTACCTCACAGGGTGTCTGTTGTGGGGAGGGGAAGGGAAAGGAGTTTGTAAGCCGTTCTGAGACTCCTTTGGGTAGTAAAGGAGGGGGTATAAATCCAATCTCTTCTTCTTCTTTCCAACTCAGTTTTACTGTGTGCACTTGCAAAATCCAGTTGGAAAGTGAATTGAAAGGGGATTATTTAGTGTGTGTGATCGCAGCCTACGGTTACCAAATCCCAGCAGGGACTGAAGACCCCCTCATAAGTATAAAAGACAGAGAGAAAACGGCTGTATTGGAGGGTGGACTTTGTGGTATTATGCCTAGCTGAACTCTCTCACCAAACTCTGACTTCCACAAGTTCTTGCTCTCAAATCTCCAGGAATTTCCCAACTAGCTGTGGGCAACCTTAGAGAACATATTGTTCTGCATTACTGAATGATGAATGTATGCGTTGAAAATGGACAATCGAATTTGCGGCTGATCTTAAGGGGGAAAAAACCCAAATTTTCTCTCTACTATCCTGGCCTATTTTATCCTTAGGGCCCCCTTAGTTTGAAATGCTCTTTTCTCTGTTTTAAAGGATTGGGGTTAAAAAAAAACACGCTTAATTTTAAAGGATGCTTCCTTGGTCTATTTATTTGTTGAGATCACTTGTAACCTCTTGGCCTGGGGAGGAGGGGGGAGGGGCGGGGGGGGGGGGGGCAGCGTAGGATAAAAGCGCAAGTAGAAATTGGAGTCAGCTTAAAGGAAAACACGTGGATGCAAAAAGCAGCGGAGATACAGTAAAAAAACCCTGTAGACTGAAAACGTACTGTTTAAAAACAGCAAAGATTTTTTTTTAAGATCTAAAAACCAGGTTAGAACAGCCTGTAAAGAAAGCCATTGGAAAGAATTTCTTAGAGACCCCTGAGCCACAAAACAGCTCTAAAAGCGTCTGAGAACGACCGTTTTTTAAACAGAAGGCCTAAAGATAAGGGGAAATCAGCACTTCCAATGGGAGGGTCTCCCACGATTTAGGAGCCGCTGCAAACAAAGCCCTGCCACTTGGGTCTTACCTCTGCCAGGGTATTGGATACCACTAGCCAATCTCAAATCCTGGGCAGGTACAGACACACATTATTCGGTGTCGCTCGTTTTTAATCTTCTGCCAAGAAGATCGCCTTGTGTTCCTGGCAGGCAGAAACGCAAGCGGTGCAGCTTTTTGTGAGCACACCGTGCCCGGAACAAGGCTTTTGTTAGGGGGCAAAAAACCAAGTAAGGGTAATCTCAGTGCTCTGGATTTTAAAGTGGATCGCATTGTTCTAGAACATTGATAAACCGGCTCCCTTTTAATGTTGTTTTTTTCCCCCAGGCAAGTTTCTCTTGCCAAGCTGAAATCCAACAGGTGCAGCTCTCCCAGGGGTCTGAGACAGAACGCACCCCTTAGACAAGATGGGGGCAATGTAGCAGGATCCCCGCAGCATGCAAACCCCCCCCCCAAAAAATCCTCTTTCGTTTACCTGGAAGCCGAACCTTCTTGGAAGATCTCCTCTTTGTCCCTCTTGAAGAGCCGGCTGGCCTGCTTGATCTTCTCCAGCAGGTTGCTGAGGTAGACGCGGAAGTATCCCCCATCCTCCCAGAGCTGAGCCCCACAAGCCCAGCTCTGGTCCCGCACGAGCCGCAGGTGCTGGTGCGTCTGGGGCAGGATCTGGGGCAAGTAGGGCGGGCTGTTCCGCAGGCCCAGCCGGGGCTGGCTCACCAGCTGCTGCAGCTTCTGCAGCCCTTGCAGGGCCTTCTCCAGGGAGCGGTGGGCAGAGATCCACCGGGGGATCCGGGCAGGCCCCGGCAGGGTGGCAGCCATTGCGGGAAGGGCGAGGCTCAGGTGAGGCCTAGCCCAGCGAGAGTTGTTCAGCCAGGGCGAGAGAGCCAGGGCACCGTTTGCGTCGGGGAGTGGCGAGGCAGGGAGGAGACGGGGAAAAGGAAGGTAGCGCCAAACGAGAGGCAAAGAGCAGAAAGGAAAGGGGGGGGAGGAGAGTGAACACCCTGCAAAGGAAGCAACCGGTAAACAAGCCGAAGTCCTCCACGCGGCCCACTCACACACCTTCCCCCTGCGAGAGGCCCAACCGCACAATCGCCACAGCGAGCCAGAGACAGAGCCTCAGCAGCTACCGTGGACGGGCGTGCAGTGTGCAGAAGCCCGGCTTGTTTGCTTCCCTCGGGGCGATCACACCTCCCCGTGCCCGGATTCTCCCTACTGCCACCACCCTTTCACACACATACGCTGCCACTGTGTGCCAGGTGTGGGGCGGGCAGACAAACCTCTCCCCTCTCCCCCCCCCCCCGGCTCTATTTCTGCCTTGAGCATGCGAGAGTCTTGCAGGCCGGCTTGGCTTCTTTCTCTCTGCATCAAGGAACGCTTTGGTGGCTCAGCTTCAGGCTATGGTTGCCAACTCAGGACTGAGGAAATTCCTGGAGATTGGCATTAGGGAAGAAGAAGAGGAGGAGGAGGAGAGTGGATTTATCCCCCACCCTTCGCTACCCGAAGGAGTCTCAGAGCGGCTTACAATCCCCTTCCCCTCCCCATGACAGACACACTGTGAGGTAGCTGGGGCTGAGAGAGCTCTTTCAAGGACTGCTCCTGACAGAACAGCTCTGAGAGAACTTGTGACTGGCCCAAGGTCACACCAGCAGCTGCATGTGGAGGATTGGGGAATCAAACCCAGTTCTCGCAGATTAGGGTCCACGCTCCTAACCACTACACCAAACAGGGAGGCTGGGGAGGGTGTGGTTTGGGGAGGAAACTCCACAGGGGGTGCGTTCAGATGGGCCGTTTAGTCCGCTTTCGGCCCGCCTCAGAAACTGATTTTATCTGCGCAATCACATGGTCAACATCTGCCTCCCGTCCCCAGCCGTCGCTTTCCGGCTCAAAACAGCTTTCGCCCGGAGTATTTTAATACCAGGTCCCCAAGTGGTGTTTTCCTGATTCTCCAGTTCCAGCCGCATTTCCCCCCTGTGTGATCGCGCCTCCGGTGTCGAGCCACTTCCAGTTTAAACCCCCTCCCCGCTCGAAAGCTGCCTGAGGCTTCCGCTTTTCGCCCACCATTTTTTAAAAAAGCATTGGCGTTGTGCGCATAGGCGGAGGTCCGCCACAGGGTTATTAAAAACAATGTTTAAATGGTGCCTAGTTTTAGCCTTTAGACGAGTTCGGGGTCTCACGGAGGCCATTTTCGGCGGTAAACGTTTAAAGGGCAGTGTTCCTTTAAAGTTTAAAGGGACGTGTTACAGCAGTCGGCTCGAAGTGGAAGACGCTGTTCTGTGCACGCGCGGAACTTTTAGTTCCACAGATGGCTATCTGTGCGCATGCCCAAAATGAGAGAGAGAGAAACAACAGCGCAGCGATCCGGAGCAAGGAGGCGAGTGTGATCGCGATTCTCCAGGTTAAAAAAGACCGCATCGGGGCGGGAGCAATTTAAACCACTCCCGGCACGCCGTCTGACGGCACCCAATGGTATCATACCACTTTCCCAGGCAACCATTTTCTTCAGTAGGATTGATTAATGTCCTCCGGAAATCAATTCTAATCCTGGAGATTTTGGGGTGGAGCTTGGGGGAAGGCAGGGTTTGGAGAAGGGAGGTGTTATGTATGCAGCCGCCACACGGCGGCCACAAGGAAGACAGGAGCTTGGCTCCAGAAAGACAATGGGACCAAGGATCCTAGTCCCCCCCCCTAGCTGACCAATGGGCTCCTTGGCGGGAAATTCAAACCCTCCAATGGAGTGGGAGGCCCGGGGATGGGAGTGTATATAGTTGGCCTTGCAGGGCCGTTGTGCGTTCTTATGTTAAGTACTCAATAAACGTGTGCAACCGCATGTCGTCGTCCGAGTCCTCCATGCGGCGAACCCAGTACTTTTCAGAAGGATCTCAGCCAGGTACAATGCCCTAGAGCGGTGGTGGCGAACCTATGGCACGGGTGCCAGAGGCGGCACTCAGAGCCCTCTCTGCGGACACGCGTACCATCGCCCCAGCCAGGCCCAGACCATCATTCAAGTGTCGAATTCTCTGCCAAGTAATTTTAAGTAAATGAAAGCATTTGGGATTGCTTTCCTTACTTTGTTTTGATCATCTTAAGTTAATGTGTGAGTTGTTTTTTCTAAAGTAAAACCTCAGTATGCAGGTTAAATGGCCGTGTTTGGCACTTTGCGATCAATAAGTGGGTTTTGGGTCGCAGTTTGGGCACCCGGACTCTAAAAGGTTCATGATCTGTCCTCGCAGAGGAGGGAGAGCTTGTACCTTAATAAAACTTGGTCTTAAATGTGCCACTGGACTGTTTTGGACTGCTAGCTATGGGGGGGGGGAATGCGCAGATCTGGAATGCGCAGATCTGCCCTCACAGAGGAGGGAGAGCTTGTACCTGAAGGCGGGCCGGGGAGGGGCTCTGCAGCTTACCCGGCTGCTTCTTGCTCTGACTGAGGGCTGCTGGGAGCAGGGGGTGGGACTTGTTGCATGTGCCCGCCCCCTGGGCTCTTTACTGCCGGAGCTCCGCTCCTGTGCGCTCCTGCAGGAAATGACCCCTGCCTGTCATCTGGGAATCAGTTGCGATTCCTGGAGATATTTGGGGCCCACCTGGAGGTTGGCAACCCTTGACTGGGTCCACAGCAGACACTTTCTCCTCAGAGCGATTTGGTCCCTGCTGCTTTAGCATTAATCGGTGGTGGTATTTGTATGCTTTTGGGGTATTGTTAGAGTTGCCAACTCCAGGTTGGGATATTCCTGGAGATTTAGGGGTGGAGCCCGGGGAGGACAGGGGTAACTTCAATAGGGTGTAATGCCATAGAGTCTACCTTTCAAAGCATCCATTTTCTCCAGGTGAACTAATCTCTGTCGTCTGGGTAGCAGTTGGAATTCTGGGAGATTTCTTTCCACCAACGGGAGGTTAGCAACGAAAGGGAGATGCAAGGGTGAAGTGAATGCAGAAAGAAGGGAAATCGTCGTCTGTATAAAAAAACCTCCAAAAGTACTCAAGCTCTAAATATAATACTCACAAATTATATACCTAATCGGCAATAACAAACATACAAAACAGCTGCAATACATTTTCTACAAAAAGAGCCCTGATGCAATAAACTGTGCAAAAGATCAAAGTTCATGAGTCACAGAACAAAGGATTCAATTGCAAATTCCAAATTTTGAATTTGCAACTGAATCCTTTGTTCAGGGAGTGGACTTTGGAATTTGCAGTCCAACTTTGAATTTGCAACTGCATCCCTTGTCAATGGAGTGGACTTTGGAATTTGGAATTAACAATCGAATTAGGAATTTGCAACTGAATCCCTTGTTCATGGAGTGGACTTTTGAATTCGGAATTTGCAATCGAAATTGGAATGTGCAACTGAATCCTTGGTTTGGTGACTCATGAACTTTGACCTTCCCCTATTGCACAGTTTATCCATATGAATTTCAAGACTTGTATTGCAATCGTTTTGTATGTTTGTTATTGCTGATTATGTATACAGTTTGTGAGTATTATATTTAGTGCTTTGAGTACTTTTGGAGCTTTATTTATATTATTTCCTTTCTTTTTGCACCAACTCTAGGAGGGACTTTCCCCTAGATTTTACAGCACAGAGTCCACCCTCTGAGGTCTCTAGCAGTTGCATCTTTAAATAGGGAGCGGGTATCCTTCGTCTTAACCGCACCTTCACCGGAAATGCAAGCACATGAGACTTAAGACACCACACACTGTATGGCAAGTCCCCGAACAAAAGAACTCACAGCCAGGAAGAAGCAGAAAAGAGCAAGAGTCCCGTAGTATCACCTTAAAGGTAAAGGTAAAGGTTCCCTTGCTTGAAAGCCAGTCGAGTCCGACTCTAGGGTTGCGGTGCTCATCTCCGTTTCAAAGCCGAAGAGCCAGCGCTGTCCGAAGACGTTTCCGTGGTCATGTGGCCGGCATGACTAAACACCAAGGCGCACGGAACGCTGTTCCCTTCCCACCAAAGTGGTACCTATTTATCTACTTGCAATTTCTTGCTTTCGAACTGCTAGGCTGGCAGGAGCTGGAAGGAAGCTCACTCCGTCTTGCGGCACCCGGGTCTCAAACTGCTGAACTACTGACCTTCCACAGCCTGCAGTTCAGCACCTTAACCACTTGAGCCACAGCAGCTCCTAAGAGTCCCCGTAGTGTCACCTTAAAGATTAACAAAATATGTGGCAGGAAGAAGGGGAGAGGACAGAGAGAGGGGAGGAAGCAAGTGGCAGAGGGGAAGAGTTCCAGCCAAGCTGAAGGTAAAAAGAGTTCAAGGCTGTGTGGTTCAAGGGTTAGTGTAGCAGCTTTTCATGGGGTATAAGGAGAGAACTGAAGGAGAACAAGGGGGGCTGGTGCAGAAGAAGGGAGCAAGAGGGAATGGATGGAGGCATTCTTTCTGCAGCAGCTGGTGCTGCCTTCTCTCGTTCCCTGCAGCAGGGAGGGGCTGTGGCTCAGTGGAAGAGCCTCTGCTTGGCATGCAGAAGGTCCCAGGTTCAATCCCCGGCATCTCCAGTTAAAAAGACCAGGTAGTAGATGATGTGAAAGACCTCCACCTGAGACGTCCCTCGAGAGCCATGAAGTGGGGCTGTAGCTCATTGGCAGAGCCTCTGCTTGGCGTGCAGAAGGTCCCAGGTTCAGTCCCCGGCATCTCCAGTTAAAAAGACCAGGTAGTAGATGATGTGAAAGACCTCCACCTGAGACGTCCCTCGAGAGCCATGAAGTGGGGCTGTGGCTCAGTGGTAGAGCCTCTGCTTGGCGTGCAGAAGGTCCCAGGTTCAGTCCCCGGCATCTCCAGTTAGAAGGACCAGGCAGGGAGGGGATGGGAAAGACCTCCGCCTGAGACCCTGGAGAGCCATGAAGTGGGGCTGTGGCTCAGTGGTAGAG